GAAAACAAGAATAGTCACCAAACAAAAAGCAAACCAATAAAAAAAATGCACCTCCCTTGCAAATATTAATTCTTCTTTTCTCTCTCACATTTTGCAGAGTTTAAATATTAGTAATAAACAATATACTTTTCTCTTCTCTTTGTTTTTCCTCAGAGTCAATCTTTAGTTTCATCTTTGACATCTGAAAGAAACAGAGAAAGGTGATCCCAGGATACCACACAGAGAAACTACCCAGGGATAAGAGCTGCCCACATTTTTCAAATTTCAATACTGACAGAATTCCAAAATGATAAATTAAAAGAAAACCAAAATAAAATTTCCAAACTTTTTTAAAAACATTTTTGATATTTTCTCCCAGTGGTGGGTTTTTGGGGGTAGTTTTTTGGGGGTGGGGGTGATGATCTAAAAGAGTTATCTTTTCTTTTTTAACTTAAAATATCTGAAAGGGGGAAAATTTAAAAGAGAGAGAGAAAAAAACCAAACTTTTTCCTCTTATATGCTGTGCCTAGTGGAGACTTTGCCTGAGGAAGATAGCCGGAAGGAACCATCTCCAATAGGAGAGATGCTATTGAAAGGATTCAGCCCTGTCATTTTTCTCAGTTATCTGCCTCTGATCCCCTTCTAGTTATTGACTTGATTGCGGGATACCAAAAGTAATCTCTAAACACACACATTTGAGAGCCCTGACTGTGGGATCTCTCCTATAAAAGCTTCTTACCCTAACTTCCCAAACTCAATCTTATAACCTCATCCAAAAGGAAGTGCCAAGTGCTGCCCATCTTAAACACAAAGCTGATCTCTAAACTCCATGGGACCAATTTCACATCAGGTACTCCATACCTAAAGCCCCAGGAGCAAGTGCACATATCCCTCTGATGAGACAGAGAACCGGTCTGGACAGCAGCCCAGAAGTGATTGTCCATCCCTACCTCCTACCATACCTCTTCATCTCAGAACCCTATCTAACAGGTCCAATGCTTTCTTCATCCCTCAGCCCCACCACAAAGCCCATGCGGTCTTTCACTTACCAGGAGCACATTCCTCTTGTTTGGGGCTACTGCTGCTGCTGTCAATATTTGAGTCCTCTCTCTCAGCTGGGGTTGGCAGTTCTGGTTCGGCTGGGTGGTTTTGATATGAAGTCTGGTCAGGTGTTGCTGGTGCCTTTTCTTTTCCAGTAAATACCACAGATCCTGATGCTCCATTGGGCATCTGGAGAAAACAGGGAGCTGGCTGCATGCTTGAGGTCTGAGTGTAAGGAACCTGCTCTGTAGCATAAGTTCCTCCCGCCATGCCGGAAAATGGGACTTGTGAGCACAGCTGACTGGAGAAAGGGGGGCCCTGCATGTAGTAGTCATTCCAAGAGATGGCCTGGTAGGCTGAGATACCTCCTGGAGAGACAGCAAAAAAAGAGGGAGGGACAGAGACAAGGAAAGTGAGGATAAAAAATATATACATTTGTACTCTGGTAACATCTTTCATGTGAGAATTTTAAAGCTTTAACCATCAATAGGATACTAGGGAAGTAGGGCTGGAAGGTACCTAATGAGGTCATCTAGTCCAGTCTCTTGCTCAGGGCAGGATCATCCCTTACTACACCATCCCAGCCAAGTTCTGTGTAACCTACTCTTGAAAATTTTCAGGAATGGAGATTCCACAACAACTTTGCTAGCTGGCTCAGTCACCCTCAGAGTCAGAAAGTTCTTCCTAATCCCCAACCTAAACTACCTCTGATGCAGCCTGAGTCCATGGCTCCTATCCTTGTCCCATGTGGCCACAGAGAAAACTGTTTCTACCCTTTTTGTAATCTCCTTTCAAATTGGAAAACGTAAATTCCCTCTCGGTCTTCTCTTCTCCAGACTAAATAACCCTAGTTCTTTCAGCTTTTCCTTATATGTTGTGCTTTCCAAGCCTCTAATAATTTTTGTCACTCTGTGCCAGACTCTTTCCAATTTATCCATATACTTCTTGAAGTGTGGGGCCCAAAACTGGACACAATATTCCAGATGAGCACCAATTAGCTGAATAACTGGTGAGGTGAACAACTGATTAGCCTCACAACACCCCTGCAAGAGAGAATATATGTCTACATGGCACAATGCAGCACTGGGGCACAGTATCAGAGCAGAAGCAGTACAGCCACAATAACCTGGCACTGTACCCTGACAAACTGGGCTAATTAGCTTGGGGACAGCATTGAGCTCTATCAGTACAGCATCTTTGCATGCCACTGCACTGCACTATGTAGATACACCTTCTCATTCTAAGCTGGCAAGGGTATTGCTACACAACGCAGCAGTGCATCACATAGACACAACTGAATAGTCCAAACTAAATAAGGGAGCATTTTTAGGATTACAATTAAGGTGTGCTCAGTGCATGGCAACATAACTGTTAGACATAGCAATTAACCAATAAGTTAGAGACCTGCTTCCTGGGTGTATTCAGCCAAACCAGTGACAAAAAATACACGTTACTGCTTTCACTCCTGTCTGCCCTGCAGAGAACCATGATTTTAAGCCTCCTTGTGTATCAATAGTAGAACTGTTTATTAAGGATCATATGGAAGTAGGGCTGGAAGGATCTCAGGAAATCATCTACTGCAGTCCCCAGCTCAAAGCAGAATCATGCCGGACTAAATCATCCCAGCCAAGTGTCTGTCTAACCTGCTCTTGGAAAATTTCCAAGAAATCTCTCTGGGTAGCCTGTTCCAAAACTTGATCGCCCCATAGTGAGAATGTTCCCCTAATCTCTAACCTAAATTTTCCCTACTTAAATTTTGCTGAGGCCATTGTTTCTAGCCTTGTCCCCTACAGTCATGGAGAAAAACCCATCTCCAGCCTCTCTGTAATCACCCTTCAGGTATTTGAAGACCATTATCAAATCCCCCCATAGTCATCTCTCTGGCCCCTTCTGTGTTCTGCAAACACTTATGCACATATTTTGATTTATGCACATACATGATATGAGATTGCTCACTTGCTGAAATGGGAGTTAACAGCTTATCACAGTATGAGCCCACTGAGAGCAGTAAGACTGTGTGGGTGTCTCAATGTGGTCAGAATTTGGCCTGAAAACTCTTTATTACTGGCAGTGACGTAGAAAGCACTAAGAGCCTGGCCTGACCTTTGGACTACAGGTGACTTTGCAAAGCAGGCAGTTAGAAGAGTGAATATCTTTTATTCTTTTAAACTTGCAAACTGCCTACCATAGATATAGAAATTATTGAGACAAGCCAAACAGAGAACACCCTTGTCCACTACGTTACTTTTCAGATGAAACCAAATATAGTTGTACTCTGAGTCATGAAATAGGTCAGGACCAGAGCTGGGGCAGGAGACAAATCCTAATTCTGTATGCTAACCACTAGACAGCCCCTGCCTCCAAGCATCTCATTCTCCAAGTCTCAAGCCACATACAATTTTTAAAGTGCCTTCAAAGATGGTAGGCCTGTGCTAATAGGGAAGTATTTGATTCGGATTCGGCTGATTTGGAGGACAGTGATTCAATTTGGAGATTCGGATCACTGTCCTGAATTGATTGGACTGAAATTACTTTGGAAGATTCGGTGATTCAGATAGGCCAGGGAGAGGCAGGCACAGCCAGGAGGCTGCAGGTTCTCCCACGGCTCCTCCAGCTGTGCCTGCCTCTCCTTGGGCTGCGGGAGCAGCCCCCATGGCTGCCCTACCTGTCCCCAGCCTAGTCCCGGCACTTAAAAAAAAAAACAAAGCCCTGCACTCACCAAATGCAGCAATGGTGATTGGGACCTCTGGGCGCTTGTGGCAGAGCCCCCCTGTGCAGCGTGGGGTAGTGGGGATCATGCCCCCCCTGCTTGGCACCCACGTGGCAACTGCCCCATGGCATGGGTGCAGCGCAGCTCAGCAGGGCACTGCGTGCTGTCTGGGAGCTGGGGCTGAGCAGTGTCAGGCTCTGGCTGACACATGGAGCCACCCCAGCTCCCAGACAGCGTGCAGCACCCTGCTGTGCTGCATTGCACCCATGCAATGCGACAGCTGCCACACAGGTGCCAGGGCAATATCCACTGGCCTGCACTACACATGGGTGCTCTGCCACGAGCCCTCAGATCACCTCTGCCAGAGACAGTGAGTGTGGGGCTTTTTTTGTTTGTTTGTTTTTAAAGTGTCCAGAGGCTGGGCTGGGCAGGGGATGGGGCAAGGCAGGGCAGCCATGGGGGCATCTCCCATGGCCACGGGGGCTCTGCCTTGCTGCCACTTGCCCAGCTGGCATGGCGGGGGAGGCCCGCAATGCAGGTGAGGCTTGCTCTGGGCAGCAGCAGGGGATAGCCCCTGCTTCCAGCGCTGCCACACCTGCATCCCCCCCCACAAAAAAATAATGCCCCGCCCCATCTGGGTAACTTGTCCCAGCCCCAATCCCTGCCTCCCCCGCCCCCTTCCCTCCCCAACAAATTTACCAGCTGAGGGCAGCTGTCAGTTGCCTGTTTAATCTACGGCAGAATCTCTGAAGCAGCCAAATCTTTTCCAAGCTTCTTCGAATCAATTTGGAGCTTTTATTGGTCTCCCGATTTGGATTGGGTGACTTGGTCCCCAAAAATCAGGCTTAATCTCTTCCGAATTGAATCAGCTACCAAAGCTTCGCACAGCCCTAAAAGATGGCCCAGCAGCATTGGGAGCCTGTTTTCTTGGATGTCCCTGTACTAACCATGCATTGTAGCATCTGGCTACCAAATTGCCCCTAAACTGCTCCAAGATACTTTGTTCCCTTACAGCAATGGTTTTCAACCTGTCTAAACCCAAGACACCCTTCATTAGACACAAGGTACCCCCTGGAAAATGCCAGCTGTTAGCCTTCACTTTTTTTTCCCTTGTAGTTAAAAAGCAAAGAGTAAGAGCAATTCTGTTCCAAAGAACTCAGAAACACCAAGGAAAATCAGAATGTTTTTAACACTATGGATTCCTATTTGAAATCTCTAGGTTTATCTTGTGAACACAGGATCCTAGGAAAGTACTGGAAGGGACCTCATGAGGCCATCTAGTTCAGGCCCCTGCTCAGGGTCCTCCCTCTCTAAATCATCCCAGCCATGTGTCTGTGTAACCTGCTTTTAAACATTTCCATGGATGGAGATTCCACAACTTCTCTAACTGGCCTATTCCAATTCTTGATCACCCTCATGGTCAGAAAGTTCTTCCTGTGTAGCTTCCTGTTCCTTGCACACCTAAGAGTGTTAATATTGCATGGCATCTCATGGCACCCTTAAAAGGATCTTGTGGCACCCTAGTTAAGAATCACCACCTTAGAGGCACAGTGCACTCTAAGAGATGCACCCTAAAGGCACATTCAGATGAGTATATGCATGCGATTTGCACTGCAAACCACACATGCAGGCATTCACTGCACTACTAATTTGCAGCACAGCGTGGGGTTTTTGATGCCAGGAAATCCCAGTGTCAAAAAACAAAAACAAAAGCAAACAAACAAACAAAAACCCATGCCAGAAACAAGCAGCATGGTGCACATAGCTGCAGTGTGCTCTGTCCAAAACCAGAGCCTGGCTGGCCAGAGCCATGCTCTGGCTGGTGCCCAGGCTCCACATGCCTGGATTGCTGCTGCTGGAGCCCTGGGAGGCCACCAGAGCCCCAGGTAAGGCTACTGGGGCCCCAGTCTTCCCTACCCCACCTAGGGCAATTTGGCACAAGCCAGACTGCACATGCAGGAACAGTCCCCAGGGACAACTAGCAGCAGCACAAATATGTGCTGCTCGTGGGGAGCGCACATTCCCACTCATGGGGACAGGCCCTAAGAGTTCACAACATTTAGAGCAAATTTAATCATAATTCAGGACAAAAGCACAATGGGGATGAGAAGAGGGTGGGAAGATAAACTGTCATGGCACAGAGGTTTAGTTTCCTTCTTTTCCCTTTGGTGGTCATCCATTGAATCATCACACATTCAGGCCCTTCAGGAAAGCCCTCAGCCACCCCAGAACTTTAGGATAAGTGGAAGACCCATAGATTTAGGGAATCTCACCTGAGCTCCCTCCTGGCTGCTGTAAAAGGAACTGTTCCCCTACATGGTTCTGCAGATACCCTCGGGGGACACCCGCTGCACCATAGGTCACAATCCCACCACTGCCACCCAAGCTGAAGAAAGCTGGATTGGACTCGCTAGGTGTAGCTGACATGAGGCGGACACTGGGAAGCATGTCACTGGCCAGGTGGACTGGAAAGCGGTGGTACTGGGAGACCTGGTGCTGCTGGGGGTACTGGGGCAGCGGATAATTTCCAGACTGGTTACTGTACTGGTAATATGGGGTCTCCAGGTTGGCTCTAGGCTCCATCTGGTCAAGGTAGCTGCAGGATGATGGGGAGTTGACCCTGCAGAAGACAAAGAGAAAATGAGTCATGAATTAAAGCAAAGTAGCATGTTAAAGCTATCTGAACTGGAGAAGAGTCAAATCTTCCCCTGAAACCCCAAAGGCCAGCTGATATCTACCCAAGCTTTCCAACTCTCAGGCACAGGGCAAGAACAGATGGTGACCCATGAGCACAGATGGAGTTGAGATCGGGGGAGTGGCAACTGCTGCTGCTTTTTTTCCTACTCCCCCCCTTGGCCTCCTTCACACACACTCCCATCCACACTGCATCCTCCTTTAAGGATCCCTTTTCTCTGATTAGAGATCTCTCCTTTCCCACACATATCTATGACTTCAAGTGAGCTCTCCTGAGAGATACCCCTTTTCCAGTATTTAGGCCCCTCCACTCCATGTCCCACCATTCACCATGTCATTTTGACCCTCTGAAGGAATCTCCCTTTCTTTTATTCTCAAGGCCCCACACTCTTTTTGGCATGTACACACCCAATTCTAGTTCTGTTTGCCTAAACACTTTCCCACCCCCCCGATTTGGTTGCCTACTCCCCAACCAGGCTGTAGCTTTTGCTCTTCCCCTCTCTTGAAGGGCTTCTTATCTGCCATACCCTTGACTCTGGAAGGTGTAAGTGAAGGCCTCCCTGGAACTGTTTTTTTGGCTGGAGGGGCTGCATTCACTCTTGGGAGTGTCCAGCATCAAAGGAACAATATGGTTGTTTGGATTGAAGGTCAGACTGAGAGGGAGACTGGCCCTGCGAATAGGTGGTGGGCTGAGAATTGTGGGAAAGCACTCCATCCTGCTGGAACTGAAGCTCCCTTGGGATAGGGCTTTTGTCTGGACTGTTTCATAAGGTGCCACCACTCCAGTAACTGAAGAGACTGTGAAGGAAAAAAAGAAAAATGAGCTTGGGTCATACAGAAAGCAAAAAATGGGGAATACAGAAGGTGCGATGGGACTGAGGGAGAAGGAAGCCAGGGGACAAGGCAAGGCAAGGCAATGTATGGGGAAAAGACTGCAGAGTGACTGACAGGGCTGTCTGAAATAAATAGCAAATAGTGGGTTGGGTTTTACGAAGGAAAGAGGGTGTAGACCAATGAGTCTGAAACTTGTTAGACTCAAGGCACCCCTTGGTAGACAAGAGGCAACCCTAAGGCAAAGCCAGCTCTTAGTTTTCACTCATTTTTCGATTACACAGAAATAGAGCAATTAATTCTCCTGTTGCAAATAACTCAGAAAGACTGCAACAGGTCAGAATGTTTTTAACGCTGTGGATTCCGGTTTGAAGTCCCTGGGTTTGATCTTGTGATTCACGTTTGCCATAAGGTGCCATACAATGTTAGCACTATTAGGTGTGCACTCTTGAAAGGACTTCAAGACACCCAGGTGCCTTGGCACCCCGGTTGAGAATCACCAGTGCGATGCTCAGCTTATTACATTACAAGTTATCTGGGATAGGGAGCCTGTTTATTCTGTGTTTATATGGAGTCCAGCACAAGGGGGTTCTGGGCCAGGACTGAATCTCCTACAGCAATAAATAGTAGATAGTAACAAGAAAGTATAATGTGTGGTAAACCGAAGCAAGATTCATAGATTGTAGAGTCGGAAGGGACCACAATGGATCATCGTGTCTGACCCCCTGCCCCTGGCAGGAAAGAGGACCGAGGCCAGATGACCCCAGCCAGGTGACTATCTAGCCTCCTCTTGAAGATGTCCAAGCTAGGTGATAGCACCACCTCTCTTGGAAGCCCATTCCAGATCCTGGCCACCCTTGCTGTGAAAAATTTCTTCCTAATATCTAACCTAAATCCACTCTCAACTAATTTACACCCGTTATTCCTCGTCACTCCCTGGGGCGCCTTTGTAAACAGTGCTTCCCCTATTCCCCGTTCACCTCCCCTAATAAATTTATAGGCAGCCACAAGATCTCCCCTCAGCCATCTCTTGTGAAGGCTGAAGAGATTCTGCTCTCTCAACCTCCCCCCGGGAGGGTCTATCACGAAGGCCACTAATCATGCAGAGCATCACCTCCTTTGCTCTATTAGTCATGCACCTGTTAATGCACAACAAGGTGCGATTGGCCTTGTTCATGGCCTCATTACACTGCCGGCTCATGTTCATCTTGGAGTCCATTATGACTCCAAGATCCCTCTCTGCCTCCGAGCTACTGAGAAGGACACTCCCTAACCTATAGGTGTGCTGGGGGTTCCTCCTTCCCAGGTGGAGTACCTTACATTTATCTTTATTAAATTGTATCCTATTTCTCTCTGCCCATTGATCCAACCTGTCCAGGTCAGCCTGAATCCGCTCCCTGCGCTCCAGTGTACTAACTTTGCCCCATAACTTGGTATCATCAGCGAACTTGGAGAGGGTGATCTCCATGCCCTCGTCCAAATCGCTGATGAAGATATTGAATAATATTGGTCCAAGGACCGAACCCTGCGGGACCCCACTGCCCACCTCCCTCCAGGCTGAGAAAGAACCATCCACCACCAGGATGATATTTAGTTCTGTCTGGCACATGTCTCTTGAGAATAAGCTACTGTCTTCTGACTGGCTCTGAACACTCATTTAAACAAAATTCATGTTATTATGCTAGCATTTCCAGGGACAGAAATCCTTGCTGTGAACGTCACTGACAACTACCAGCAGGCCAATGTGCTGCAAGTAATACCATAAGAATCTCATGCCTGAGTGTCTGAAGAGCACTGACAAGAAAGGGCATTACTCACAGTTTAGGAAAGTTTACATACACATTGTTTCTACCCCATTCTCTTTATTCCACAATGGCAAGAATGCCCATTCATTTTTCAGGTGTGTGTGCACCTTATCTAGATATTAGGACTAGAAGGGACCCCAGAGGATCAGAGTCCAGCCCTCTGCTCCAGGGGCAGGAAGTCAGCAGGGATCATATGATCCCAGCAAGATAAGCATCCAAATGCGTCTTGAAGGCATTCAAAGTGAGTGCTTGAACCGCCTCCGGCAGCAATCTATTCCAGACCTTGGGGGCTCAGACAGTAAAGAAGTTATTCCTTATGTCCAGCCTGAATCGGTTGCAGCGGAGTTTGTGACCGTTTGATCTTGTCATCCCTTGGAGCGCTCTGGTTAACAGATGTTCCCCCAGATCCTAATGAGCACCCCTGATAAACTTATCGGTGGCCATCAGATCACCTGAGCCTGCGCTTTTCTAGCCTCTCATCATAAGGTCTATTTTCCTGACCTCTGATCATACGCATGGCCCTCCTCTGCACTTTCAAGCTTCTCCACACCCTTTTTGAATTGTGGAGCCCAAAGCTGGATGCAGTACTCCAGCTGAAACCTCACCAAGGCTAAGTACAACAGGAGAATGACGTCCCAGGATTTGCTTGAGAAGCATCTATGGATGCAAGCCAGCATTTTGCTCGCTTTACTAGCCGCAGCATCACATTGAAGGCTCATGTTCATCTTGTGGTCAATCATGACCCCCCCCACCAAGTCCCTTTCATCTGTAGTGCTAACCAACATAGCACTGCTGAGCCTATAAGCATGCTGCAGGTTTTTCCTCCCAAGATAGAGAATCTTGCATTTTTCAGTATTGAACACCATCAGGTTCTCATCGGCCCATTTCACGAGCCCATCAAGATCTGCCTGGATCGCCCTCCTGGTCCTCAGGTGTGGATGCTTTACCCCAGAGTTTGGTATCGTCGGCAAACCTGGCCAGTCCGCTTCTGACACCAGTGTCCACATCCATTGATGAAGATGTTAAACAGTATAGGCCCTAGGACAGCCTTGAGGGATCCCACTGGTGACCGCACACCAAGATGATTGGCTTCTATCAACCACCACCTTCTGGGTCCAACCACGGAACCAATTCCCCAGCCAGCAGACCGTGGTGAGGTCGAGGCCGCTGTTAGCCAGTTTTGCCAAGAGGTGATCATGGGATACCAGACTGAAGATTTTTTTGAAGTCAAGATATACGACATCAATCTCTTCCCCCTTGTCCAGGTGATAGGTCACCTGGTCGTAAAAGGAAATGAGATTGGTCAAGCAAGACCTACCCGCAACAAACCTGCAGGCATATCCAGCATAGAACTCCATCTTTTCTATTCTGCTCTGATGCATTGTGGAATGTAAGAACCCACCCAAATCCACCACATTTCTAACTACTTTATTATCCCCTCCTTGAGCAACTTTGCTGGGCTTCAGAATCAAGCCCAAGGTCATATCTTGTAACATATGTAGAATCCTACAGGATCCAGCAAGTTCTCTTCTGCTGTGGACTTGGCAAAAGTTTCATTTTAGAAAAAAACATCGCGTTATCGGCCCAAGAGGGAAAGATGGGCAGATTTAAATGTTTCTTCTCTTTGTTTAGTGGCAAGCAATCAAACTACTAGAAGCTTAAGGCCATATGCAAATGTGCATGCAGCTACAAGCCTAATTTACCAGTAGGATCACAATAGTTAGGCATTCATGTATACCAATGGTTAGGTTCAGTGAGATCCTTACAAGCAAGTTCCTAGTTTGCACACCCAATCACAAAATTCAGGCACACAAACATACATGTATCCAACCCTATTTCCAGAGAGGCAAATACAGCATGTTTGGATTGAAATTTCTACTGGCTCAAGTTAACAATTATCATCTATTAGATTACTTTGTTAGAATTTGCCACTGACCATGTGAGGTTTCCACAGAGCCTGTTCTTTGTTCTAGGTAATCAGGTTTGCTTTTCAAGTTATTGACTTCGGCACTCTTAACCAATCCTTTCACTTACTTCCGGTATAACAGATTCCGCCCTATACAAATATCTCTTTATATCTATCTTCAAAACAACTTTTCTATATATTTTCTAATGACCCAATTAACGGCTTTATATGTTTTAATGTAATCCAATTTTGAGGAAAAAGTTACCTTCAGCAG